TAGGCCGCAGTCCTGGTTCTGAGTTAAGCATTGCAGATGAAAAGGGATGGAAACCTCCTCCTGCACACGTGACTTTAGAATCAGAAGCAAAAATCTGTTTTCCCCTCGAGTGATTGAATCCCCATTGTTCACTTTATCGAACTGAATTCATGGAACAGATCACTGCTTGGTTACCCTTCTGGACTGACCTATTTAGTCCTAAAATTGAGAGAGAGAGAAAGTGTATAAAGACTCAGGTGAAGATGAGCTGAGGGATTCTATCAGTGTCAGTGAGATAGGATGTGATGTACCACTCTTCTGCTCTGCTCTTCTTCAGACGTTTACATTTTCTGTTAGATTTTCAACAAACTCTGTCACCTTCCAGGATATACACTTCTGCTGTTCTATTATTTTTATGATCTGTAATTCTTATATCTCACCTAAAACGCTGTTACAGCACAAGTCAGCATCATCTTATGGATGTAGAGAACACTTGCTTCTTGTTGTTAAGCAGATGCTTTTAATCTAAAGGCTATATTTTTTTATTATTATTTTTTGATTCTTCTGTTTTTCTTTATGGTAGTATGTGTTTTGTATTGCCCCCATTTGTCCTTTTTTCTTTTAAATACATGGTAATTGAATGTAGATATGGGGTCTCACCAGTGCCAGCTAGTGTCAAATCTGTGTCTGGACTGTGGCTCTCTTGTTAAACACCCAGAATAGTATTTATCTAGTCATATAGTTAACACACATAACCCAGGCAAAGATTTGTAAAGGTTCATGGAAGTTAAAAGCTCTTGCTTCCATTCAGGATCAGTAAAACTTCCAACTACCTTTTCCTGAAACGCGATCTGCCCTCTTTGTGTCTCCCCAGCTGCAGCATCCCAGTGCTGAAGTGAGAGAGTATGCCTGTGCCAGTATTTCCAAGCTGTTGCAGCAGAAGCACGTCATCCCAGCCTTCCTGCAGAGGGACGTTGTGCGGTGTTTGGGGCCGCTGCTGATGGATCACAGCTTAGCTGTTCGGGAGACAGCTGCAGGTGCTCTCCGGTAAGCAGCTGGAAAGGGGTAATCCTGGAACAGGAGAGCAAACAGTAGGGTTTTGTTGTTGACAGCCATGAACTTGAACACCAGCCTGTCTTGCTTTAACTCCGGCCTCGGTAGGTGCACCCACATCAGCCAAAGTCTGCAAGAGAGGGGCTTTTCTTGCTCCATGAGACTCTAATGTCAGCAGCAGGCTTTATGCTGGAAATATATGGCTTTATGAAGAAATATAGAGAACTTGAATGCAGTTCATGTGGCATTTTGTGTCTTGATGTTTTAGTACCCATAAGCCTTCTTGTTACACTTGACAAGTAAGTGAAAATATTCTTTTCCTACCACCAAAGTTATTCTTTTGTGTTAGGGAGATAGAAGACTAAAGTTACTGATTGAGCAAATTGATTTTAAAACAAAAAGTACCATAACCTTTAGACGAGAATATAGAATACATGGGTTTTTTTAAACATTCCTGAAAAGTATTGTATCTGATCCAAAGCATTTTTTTTCTGTTTTCCCCAGAAATCTAAGTGCTTGTGGAGGATTTGAAGTCTGTGATGACATGGTGACAAGTGACATTATGACACCCCTTGTTGCACTTCTGAAAGAGGTGTGTTTATTCTGATTTTAAAACTGATCTATCCATTGAATTATCCCACTTACAAAAATAGTTCAATTTTTTTAGCTATTATTAAGATATTTGAAAGATCTTTTAAAAGGATTTTCAATAGATTTAATGGTACAAAAATTATTCCAGAGATTTCACACCACCAGCTTCTGTTTCCTGACCAGATAATTTTGATCTGTGGTGAGTCTTGCACCTGGGATGATTTTTGCATCAAAGGTCTGGAGATTTTGGGTCTGGAGCTTCAGTCAAGACCAGTTTATTGTGTCAGTCAAAATCCAGGTCCAACATTTATGTTGCAACATTATTCTAGTGAGGTTTTTTTGGTGAGCAATTCTATCAAAATGAAAGCTTGGGTTTACAGCTGGGTACTGTAGGATAACTTGTACTGAATACCTATTCTTTGTTTGGTCCAGGTGTTGCAGTGCAGTTTGGAAATTGCATTGAATTCTGTCACCTGCTGTCTTTGTATGAGCAGCCTTGAGCAATACCATCGTTTTCTGTATGTTTCTTCCCCATTTCAAATTGAGTAATAGCATTATTGTAAAGCATAGCAAGATATTAGCTGAATTAATCTTTGTGATTAGAAAGAACTATTGACAATTTCATACAGACTATTAGCAAGAAACAGCACTTAGGGTTCTAAAACTGTCAAGTTGGTTTTTTTTTAATTAAAAAATACTTCTAAAAACTACTGAATGAAAAACGAGTAGTATAAGAGTCTTTCTTCAAGAGAAAAGTTACCAGTGATTCAATTCCATTGTAGGTAAATTTTCTTAGAGAATAGGAAACTAATCAGGTTTTCTGGTAATAAACACTGTGACTTGTTTCCCAACCCTGGTTCTCTTGTTTCGTTGTAGTGTAGCACTGAGCTAGATGCTAACCAACTCTCTCCAAAGAAATGCAGAGAGGCAAACAAAAATTATGTTGAAGACGTAGCCAATGAAGCTATTAATTTGCTGTGGAATATATGGTAAGTGCTATGTAAATCCAGGGCTTTTAAAAGAGCTAAATTAAATTATTCCTGAAAAGCAGCCTGGTGATTGAGGCAGAAAAGAAATTACTGTCCTGGCATGGGAAGATGCATCCAGTTGCTGATTCTGATTTCTGATTGTGTTGCTCCTACGTGTGCTTTCCTTTAATAATGATGAGCCCTAATCTGATCTGAAATACAGGTTTATCTTCTGCCATAAATTACTTTTTTAAATTAAGGATTCTGAAAGTCCATTAAGTTGGTCATTAGTGTTAGGAGAGTGACAAACTTTTTTTCTATTGGTTGTTCATCCTGAGTTCTGATTTTGTTTTCTGGACATGTTCTGTCCCAGTCTGAGATGCAGTTTGGGTTGTGGTGTCTTGCATGCAGTTCCTGTAGATCCTTACTGTGGGATGAGAGATGGAGAAAATTAAATTCCGATCAGTGGACTCCGGTGCTCTGGGAATATGAGGACTTCTTATACTACTTCCTCCCTCTACAGGTCATCCCAAAAGCTAATATTAAATATTTGGACCAACTGTCCCTTAGTTACTGAGACACTGATACAAATCTACTTAATTATGTGAGAAATAATGTGAATTGTTCAATTAATAGTTTACATTGGAAACACCAGGTGAAGGAAGAGAAATGGCAACACTTAATACAGAAATGACTATGAACACTGAAGTGATACAAACTTATTCTGAAAGTTTTTCTTGAATTTTATGTTGTTTCTCTTCATGTTTTAGCAGCTCCACATCGTTACACACCTTGGTGCATACAGGATTTTCTTTAGTGTTGTACAGTGTTTCAGTGGAGTTGCCTCTGTGCCTGTGTGGTATGGCTGCTGGCTTGAGGCCTTATTTCTAAATTGGATTTTTTTTTTTTAGGGATTGGAGTCTAGAACAGTAGAGAAACTGCTTGCTCAGCACCTTGCACAGAATACATGACCCTCTGTGACTCTGACTCAACAGTGTTGTGTTCATTTTTTTTTTTTGGCTTTTGTAGTCACTGCTTTGGAACAGGAACTATGATCATTAAGTGTGACATAAATCGCCTCTGTATTTTGAACTTTGTGGCAATGAACTACTGACTTCATTGCTAAGTTTGGTATTGATAAAATTGGGGCTGACACTGGTGCTGAGACATAATATTTCTAAAAGTAAATACTTGAAGATCCTTGTAACTGGTTAACTCCCATGCTTTTTTAGTTTGAATTAGTCTTGTATCAATATATTAGTTTAAAAAAGGGAATAGCTGTGGAAAACTTGAAGAAACAGATCCCACTGTTAGGTAATTAAAGTAAATGCATGTCTGAATGATAAGAGCAGTTATTTTATGGAGTGAATAAATATTGATGCAAGAGGCAGCAGCTCTAGTCACTGGGTTTGTGGGTGAAGTTTTCTATGGCTGCAGAAAGCCTTGGGCTGGCTTGTAGCCTGCAGCTGCCTTTCACTCTCTGGCTGGACCTGTCCACATCTGTATTTAGGCTCCCAAATAAACTCCCAAACACTGGGTGTGAGGAAGCAGCTGGCAGAAGCCAACTGTGTCCAGGATTTTGCAGTTTCTCTTTCAGCATATTTATATAGAGTTGATCATAACGTCAGTAATGAAGAATAGCTCTTTGACTAATACATAATTCTTACATAGTTTTTACAACTGTGAGTAATAGTGAGTATGGGGTACTTAAAATGTTTTTACAGTATGTTTTTTCCCTGGGAAAAGTGTTTTAATTAATCTTTTTCCTACAATAGTGAATGTAACAATACTGCTGTGTACATATTCAATAAAGAAGGGTGTCTGGAACCTGTGTTAAATTACATGAAGAAATTCTCCACAAATGTGGATCTGGCTATTTCAGTAGGTAAGTGATAAAAAGAGAAGATAAGGACTTAAAGATACTTTTTTTCCCTTTACTATATAAATGTAACATTGATGTTACAGGCATTGCATAATGCACCTGCCTTAGCATTGCTGAGCTTTGCACTGAATATAAGATTTCAAATTCGTTTTTGAACAGCACGTAATTCAGAAGTTTGTATCTGTTGTGCTTGTTTTCAGTCCAAAGGAGAATGACTTATTGGTGGTTACATGGGAGGAAAAATTTTGTGGAGAGAAGGCTCTAGAGGGGGGCTGTGTTTTTAGTTTTGTTTGCAGGTTTTGGTAATGGAGGGTTTAATTTGTTTAGCAAAGGACATAGTCCATCTAAAAAAACCCCAAACAACTCCTGTCACTTTCGGTGTGTTTTTATTAGTAGTTTGTTGTTGTAGTCTTATAATGGTCATACAGGTGTGTGTGATCCCAACATTTTTATGTTGTCGCTACTCAGTATACAAAGGAGAAATCTATTTTTGAGTAGCTGAAATTAATACAGCCAATTCCATGTCTGATGTGTTATTGTCCTCATCTCTTTTGTGTACAGGTTTGCCACAGAGTGTCTTTTAATCTAAAACACAGATTGTGAGAGACAGTGTTGTACCATTACAACGTGATGCTGCATGAAATTTTTTTTTCCTGTCAACGTTTCATTACTCCAACTTGCAGTAAAAATGCTTTTTCATTAGGAGAGTGAAAGCTACTGTTGGGTTTGTTAATTATGTTTGTTCTTATTGTTTGGTGTAGCAAACTGCTTGCAGGCAGTGACAGAAGATAATCCAGACCTCCTTTCTTCATTTAATGCTTCTGCACAAGAAGTATTGGAGACAGTGATGTTGTGTCCAGAGAGCACAATGAAGCATGTCCTTCTGAGAACACTGATAGCAGGTACAGGGCTCGAGGGTGTTCACTGCTCTGTGATGGGGAGCACGGCAGGTAAGGGGGGGTGGGAAGGACAGAAGTCTGGACATCTGATTGTCAAAGCCTATGCAGATGGTTCATGAGGTTATATCTGCCTTTTGGAACTGCAAACAGATATTTACAACTGGTTTTGAAACTGTCTTAAATTCTTGACTCTAAATTCAGTCCCTGATCAGGGTGATAAAGCATTTTAGCTGCTCTTTTTGATTTTCAGCAGTGAAATAAGTCAATAATAAGCGGTACAGGAGTAGTTTTGATCTTAATAGGTGTAGATTTTTAACTCATATTCTCTACCTTGCATTCTTCTTGCTACCTCAGTTGCTTAACTGTGGTGATTTTTGATACTGGAGTGTAATAAATTAATATTGACAATCCTTAGAAAATGGTTCTCTGGTGTGATTTTGTTATCAGGTACAAAGCAACACCAAGGCCAGGCCACATAAATATTCTGTAATTATTTATGTGCTGAAATTTACTTGAGCTTAAGATGTGGGCATAACATAGTTATTACAGGTGAGTATATGAAATGCTAAACAGAAAAAAATACAAATCTGTAGAACAAAGACTGAATATAATCACTGCGTATTTTAAGTAGCACAGACTGTGTTCTTACAAAATATATGGCTGTTACAGAGAATTGAGTTCTTTAGTAATTTTCATATTTTGGTTATCTCATATTTAGGCACTATTTGGAATATCAAGGCTACCATTCCACCAGGCAGCCTGGGAAGCATGGTTAATGCAATCCTGAAGATTTTCTCAGAATCATTAGCAATAGACGCTGGTGAAACAATTATTCGTATGAATGAAGCTGAAAAGAACAGGTTAAAACTTGCTGTGGAAGCAGAAACAGAGGAAAACATGAGTGATGTGGTGGACAACTGTGTTTTGAGTGAAGATGATAACATGGAAGAAATACCAAAAGGAAAACTCAGAAGGGAAAATGATGTTTCAGATTTACTTCCAGTAAGTGTTTCTGGCTGGCTGTTGGGCTTGGTGCTTTTGGCTGAGCGCTGGACTAGTCTTGACTCAGCACTGGCCAGAGGAAATGACCTATGAGTGTTACTAATACTGGTTCCCAAACAGCTTGTCTGTTTTAGCTAAAACCTCAAGGATGAGCATGGAAAATTTCAGCACAACTTGTTCCAATGTGACCAAATTGCACAGCACATCAGGAAGGTGCATTTCCATGGTTTTCCTCCAGTGGAAGGTATAGGCTTACCTGACACTTCTACCTGCAGCTACTGCAGGAATTTTGATTTCTGTTTATGGCAAGTGAGATTTGTAACCATTCAGTCAGGAGTGGAGGTGGCTCAGAGGTTTACAGATGCGTGCACTGTTGTGTATGGGAAAAGGGTAACAGGAATACATGTTTCTGTTAGAGCTTTAGATAACTGTTTCTCTTACAGCTTTAGTGCAGGTGGCATTTCTTGAAGATAAAATTTGCTCTGGAACATCCAACAGAAATGTAGCTTACGCCTCTTGGTTTTGTGGTTTTGTTTTTTTTTGAGTTTTGGTGTAGAATGAGAAGAGAAAATGACTGGACTATATTTTTAGCTGACAGCTTGGGTAATTTAAGTTGCACTTAAATGTTGTTTTACAAAATCAAATTTGGTTCGTGTTTTTATTTTTTAGTCTGATAAGTGGGAACTGAAAGAAGTGACAGCTTTACTGACGGCTCAGCAGACTGCTCTGGAAATCATTGTTAATATGTGCTGCAGTGAAGGTTTGTAGGAATCTCTCATTGCAAGCGTTGTGGTGTGTTTTGTTTTTGAACAGCTCACATTTAGTCATCTTGGCTTTTAAAGGCAAGTGCACACAGGCGTATTGTCCCTGATATCCTTGTCTGGGGGGCAGATTAGATTGTAATTTCTATTACTATTTTAAGTGTTTCTTTTCATTTAAGTTATTTATGAGACTTAAATGTTTTTTTCTGCATGGTACTACTATGTGCCAACATTTAATTACAAACAAAAAAGCACTTGCGGCAAAGAGATATTTCCTGACGTGTTACAGCAAAATCTTTGTTCAGTTAGAGTGTGGTCTGAGTGTTCTTCTGATACAATATGTGTGTGAATCTTATTGCAGGATGGGGCCATTGATTTTTTTAAAAGCAGATAAATCTTGTAGCTTTGATTTAGTGTTGATACTAGAAGTGTTGCAAAATTAGGAGTAGATACAGCTTTTGCATGCAACTCTGGCAACAATGTAGATTTAGGCTTTCAGAGTTCTGCCTTTATGAGCTTTTTTGAGGAGGAAGAAAGGCTGTTGTTTGGAGGGGAGTAGGAAATAGATATTCTATAACTTTTAGGAACTCTGATACTCAGGTTTGATAGCTTTTCTCCTGATCTTCAGGAAAACATATGAGATATTATCAAATTCTATTTAAAAATACCAACAATCAAACAAAATTAATCCCCTAAACCCTCCAACACCTGAAAACTTCTGTTACTGTTACAGTTTTATCCTGATGCAGAAGTGATTTTATAGGAGATAACTAAGTAAAACTTTCAGGTTCTAATAAAATCCACAGTAATACCCAGTTATTCCCAATGGTGATTTTTTTTTTTTCTCTTATAGCACAAGGAAATTCTGTACCTAGTGTATGAAGCTCCTTTCATTACTGTGTTTCTCATCTAATGAGCTGTAATTCATAAGCTTTCCCCTTTAATTGGAAAATCTCTTGTGGATAAGCTGCATATTCTGCCATTCACTCAGTGTAATGTAAGGTTGATTGTGTTGTATTTCACTGCAGTGCTTTACCCATTCATGGGCAGACAGAAACATAGGCTGTAGAAATTAAGAGGAATCCAGAAGCAGCTGTTCATTTAATTTTCAAGTTATTTGAGGACTAAAATAGCTTTAGCCATTATGCTGAGTTCATACAAACACTTGGCTTGCTGCAGAGCTGAGGGAAATCACCAGGCTGGCAAGAGATGTGTTTGACTGAGCACTGACCGGCGTTGGGAGAAGCAGAGTGGTCTCCCCTTGATGGGGACATGGGCAGGGAGCCAGGAGACTCCAGCACTGCTGTCCAGTCTGTAGTTCAGAGGTTACCAGTGCTAGTTAAGATGGGATTGCCATTGGAAATGCCTCTGTGCTTCCCAGAACATTACAAGAAACCTGATCATAGTTACAGGCCAATGTTCTAGATCCCAGTTCCCGCTCTGCCCTGGTCACTGCTGTCTTTGTTGTTGCTGAGTTGCATTGTCAGCTCATATCCTTATTATTTAGTTTTCAAAGGAGATTTTTGTTTGCTTTAAAAAGATTCACATGGAACTTTTCTGCAAGAGGCAAGAGACTTCAGGGGATGTCTGCTTTGTTTTCATGTTTCTTGCTGCCGTGGCCTGGTAAAGAATAAAAGCCAACCATTTTCTCACACAAAGGCTGTTAACACCACCATATTATGGCTGCAGAATTAATTGGAGATTACCATAAGTAACAGAAGATGCCTGTGTGGTCAAGTTGCTGCAGCTCGATGAGTTACTTTGCATCAGATAAACAATAGCCATGACCTTCAAATAAATTCTTAATTTCTGCACAATACAGGTGAAATGCATTAATTTAGATCTTTCTTGCTGTGTTTTAAGTGACTTTGCCTTTTGCCACAGAGGTGGTGTGGCTGTCACTGTAGTTACTACAGTACCTACTACATCTCAGCAGAACCTGTGTTGTCAGGCAAAATTACTTGGGGGCGAATCTGATATTTTTTCATCAGAGTAGTTAAATGTCCTGACCTATATACGCAGGCAGAGCTTTCATCTTCTAGAGAGGAGAATCAGTCCAACTTGTAGACTTAGGACTTGGGTAAACACCAGTTAAAATGTAACCAGGTTTAAAGCAACTTTAGATAAATCTGTGTGAACCCTGTGGACGTAGATATATCAGTTTAAATATAAATGATGAACTGAGCTTGCGCTTGTTAGGCCAAGACTGGCTTTAGCTGTGGACAGATTATTCACTTTACAGTAGCCTGTAGGTAATACGACCTCAACTCCTCTTGCCATGTGTGCTTGCCCTAACATGACTTACTGTACTAGCAGATCTGTAAGTATAAATCTAGTTCAGGTTTAAGACTATAAACCTAGCTTAACTTACTTAAAATATGTTGCCTGAAATTACTATCAGAGGTTATTTAGCTTGCTTTGGCTTGTTTTGCTGTCATTGTTTCCTTTCAAGTGGCGTTGCTGTGGAGACAGTAACATCTTCATCCAGCCCAGTTACTGCCCAGGCAAAGGACATCTGTCTGTGGCTTTTCAGTATTGCTAGAGGAAACAGTTGCCTTAACTTTTTTACTGACTGCAGTCAGTTTAAGTTAAACCAGTGTTTTCACATGCTTGAATCTACCTCAAAAAGTGAAATGGTGCAATCCAAGTTAAAATCTTAGTAAATCTCTATGAAGTTTCTTCCATACCCTTTTTGATAAAGTGACCCATTGTTAATATCAGAGATTAAAGTACCCATGTATGAAGAACCTGTCTCCTGAGAATACTTGTTGCCTGAGTGAATATAAAATACACTTTTAATAAAATATTTAGGACTGTGGCTTAGTGGCACTTGATTTGTGAGGAGTTCATAGAGCCCAAGAGCTTAAAGATTCCTAAACTAAGAGGTGGAGTCGAGTACAACTGAGAAGTAGGAAACATATTGCATGTGGGCTGTTACATTTACAAGTCTGTCTTGTGTTCTCAGATCCCTCTGATGACGAGTGGGAAGAACTGTCCAGCAGTGATGAGAGTGACTTGTTCATTGAAAACTCATACAATGAGGGAGGGGGGCTGCTGATGACACCCCTGTGCCTCTCTGATGAGGTTCACTCAGCGTTTCTGAACAACCTCATTCCAAAGAAGGTAGTGTCTTCTATTTTATTTCCAACACATGGCGCAGTCTTCCCCTAATTCCTGCTTTGTATCCCAGGTTAGGCAAGGAAATTATCCCAGTCCATGTGGAGGAAAGGAATATTTTTTTAATGAGTTTAGCTTCACTCTTTTTGGCCTAGAGATGGTGCATCATTGCATGAGTTCTCTTGACCTAAATAATTCACGTAAGTTGGAATAGAAGAGCCATGTGTTTCAGAAAGCTGGTGGAGTTTCTTTTAATTTGTTTGGTTTTTTTTCCAAAATACAAAGGTTGTTATTCCTTGATTTGGACATGAAAAAGATTACCTGCAAAAAGAGAGGAAATCTTGATGAAGCATGACTGCCAGATATTAACTAAATGAGGTGGAAGTAACGTGTGAATGGCAACAGTCAGCACTGAAGAAGTGCAAGTTCCTCTTACCCTGTTTTATACAAAGTGTCTGAAGTACAGTATTTGACAGTGACAGGAATTTAGGTGTTTTTGTTTCAGAGTTGTTTTGCTCATTTTTATTTGGAGTTGTAAAGATGGAGTTTGTTATTTGAATTGTTACTGTGCTGGTTCAGCAGCATTGTAGAATTCCAACCCAAGACATCAAGGTGCAAGATGAAAACTTTGAAGGCTTTTTGTACTTAATAACAGGAGTTTCATGGCAAGGCCTTCTACACTTGCAGCTATCTGAAAATTCTGTAGTGGAATCTGTAAGAAGAAAGAGCCAAATAAGAAAGAATAGCAGAAACCTAGAAAATCACCTGTTGTTCAGTAGAGTTGGATACCTTAAATATGCTGTGCTAAACTCAGGGTATAATTGCACCATTTGAGTGATTGAGCAAAATTCTGATGTTTTTAGCAGGTGAGACGCTGCCTGGAAAACTTTGAAATACATAGTTTGAAGTATCTGTTTGAATCGAGATAAAATTTCAGTCTTCCTTCCAAACACACTATAACAAAAAAAAAAAAAATAAAGGCTTTATTGCTAAACATTTCTTTTTCCCCTCCTCAGATTCTTGAAAAAACTGCTTTTCCGAACAGTGTTGCTCTAGACATCTGTATGCACAATCCGTCTTGGAAACCATTAATTAAAAAGTAGGAATTTCATTGTCTCTCTTACTATTTTTCATTTATATTCAGTTGTCTTGGAACTCTTAGAAGGATTTTCCATCTTTGGGTTTCTGTCAAGATCTGGATACTGGCAGATCTGATATAGGATTTTGAATAAAGAGATAAAAATACTTTTGTAAACTGCACACCAGATCACAGCCTTAATAAATTGAAGATTCGTCTTTATATTTCAATATGTGTTTTCAAAGAGATTTGCTAAATGCTTTTTTTGTTTGTTTGTTTCAGACTGAATGCAGTGCAGTGCAGAGCTTTAACATGTCTTCATAGCATTTTATTAGTGTCAGATGTGGATTGTCTTGGAGGAGCTTCAGCACTTCAGTCCCTTGCACAGCATCTCTCACAGTTGATCTTTTCTAAAACAGGTAAGATGTTTAGTACAGGGGACTTGCTGACCCCCTTTGCTGATCATATAAGGTAGTTCTAATGCCATTTTATTACTAACTGTATTTCTTTGGTCTTTCAATATAAGGATACTGACTGTTGGAAATGTGCTGGCAAACAGTATATCCTGATGTGTTTATGCAAACTGCACCTTGAGCAAGTCTGCTCTTAATGCAAGAATCTGCTTTACATCTGGGTCCACACAAAAAAATCACTTAGTGGATGAATCCTGCCTTGCTGAGACCAGAACTGTTTGCTTGATCATGTTTGGGATAATAGTTCTTCATCAATCACACAAGCCATGAAGAAGATAGGGCATTTTCTTTTTAAATATGCTGACTAGCTTGCCTAAAGAAATGTTAAAAAGAGGATGTCTAGCACAGTCTTTCACGTAATTTTTTTCTAGGAATCTTATGAAATTATGTCAAAGATGGTTATTGCAAAAAAAAAAAAAAAAGTACATGGTTGTTACAGTAGGAAAGAGAGCAGCCACCTTGTCTCCAGAACATGCTTTAT